AAACAAAAATGCCATTATAAGGTCAAAAAATGATCGTTAGACATATGCACATCAAATTATCAGATATTTTATGGAGATTTTAATAATGTGTATCAATTTTGTTTACATTTCTATGGGTTTCGTAAAATCGTTTGTCCGTTAGACGGCGACGTGGCGCTTAAGCGCTTCTATATTGCGTCTCTATGCAACTAAAGCAGTGCGACTGCTTCGGAAAAAAATTTCAAAATATTTCAAACTAAAAAAAAAAACATTTTTTTCCAAAAGTTTTTTTTTCAAAAAAGTATTTTTTTCAAAAATTTAAAATTTCTCAATTTTTTTTTTCAAAGTTTAAAACATATTTAATCTTTTTTTTAAAATTTAATTTTTGTTACGGGAAGTTCCAGCAATTTGCACGATGCCATACACCACTAGTTTCAATTATTATTTAGTGCAAACTTTTGACTACTCATTAATTCCATTTAAATAAAATTTTAGTTTCATTTATTACTTTATCTACTTTAACAGGGTTTTAATTAAAACAAAGCAAAATCTGTTTTAATTTAATTTCCGCATTTTATATAAATATTTTTATTTTACAATTATAATTTGTTTATTTAAAAAATATTAATTAACTACCTTATCTATTAATCATGATTCATTTTTTTATATGTAAACTTTCATATGCTTACTCTTTTCTTTGCATCATAATAACGATATATTTAAAAAATACAATAAGCATTTAAAATTATAATTATACTTAAATAATATGTACTATATAAAATTAATTAAAATGCACTGCATAATAGACTTATCGTTGTTTACTGAAGTTTTGTTATAACACGACAGTGAAACGATTTCCTACATTAATTTTTAAAGATAGTAAATTGCTTGCTTTCAACCGAACAAATATTAAATGAATTATAATTGATAGATTTTATTCATTTAAATTCGGCAATTTATGAAATATATATTCTACTACATATTTCAAATAGTATATGAACATCTTACATCTTTCAAAATATTGCAAGATCCTAATACATCCCTGAATTGCGCATACATGTAAATAATCTAAAATGATCCAGCTGATATATGATCTATATTCAAACACTTAATTTTGTATTCATAATTTATTTAAAATGTTTTTTAAAACAATGCGTTAGAAATTTACTATTATTTGCGCAAAATTAGATAAAGATAACTATTTCACATTCGACGTATTTTAGATATAGTTCTAACTGCGTTGAACTTTTTGAATCAGGCATAGATTTTAATCGATACAATTAATATTAAAAATTACGCCAAGATTGAACAAAAAAGTTTTTCATCTAATTTTGTATTTTGTACAATTGCGTATTGCTAATATAGAAAATTACAGCATAATATATTCAGCTCTTATTTCTTAGAACATTTGTGTTCGGTTTAAAAAAATTAAAATAATTGTTTTTTGTGCTGAATTGTTAAATATCAAATTATATTCAAATTACATCTTTATGGTATAAAGAACGACAAGATCTGATTCCCTTTTTTTAAAAAATTGTCTTTTTCTTAAAATCGAAACAAGAAAATATTTCAGTTTTTTTTTTTGGTTATTAAATATTATTTAATTTAATGGCATTTCATTAATCGTGAACATAAAATTTTAAGAAAGAGGGCAATGCCTTCTATGAACCGAGTTCTATGTGTAATGAGAAATTATTATCTCTAAACTAAATATAAACATACGATTACTATAGATAAACGAATAGTTATTTCTATTCGTCAAATTTAAACTTTTGCCGGAATGTAAAGGATTTAAAAGATTATAAATTTGTCGTTTTTGAATTGAATTAATATTAAATTATAGCAGGACTCAAAAAAAGAGGAGGGTAGACGTAGGTAAACTATACATTTGGTTACAATTAACACATAACTAGTTTGCTCTTTGACCTTTACTGGTTTGATAAAAATAATGAATATAGTTCAACGATTTGAAAGATGATGATGAATAAAATATTTAAACAAAGTCAGAATTAAAATTTAAACTCGTGGTGTATAGCATCGTGCCTTAAGGCGTAATTAAAAATCTCGGTACGGAACCCTTGGAACGGAAAAATTTACACAAAATGTGTACACATTTGAAAAATGACATTTTTTTACATTTTTTACTAGATTTCCGAAACCGCTGAACCTGCCTTCCCAAAAATTTAATCAGTTCTTCATCTTGTCAATATAAGTAAAATGTTTTTTGAATTATTCAAATCGGTTGATCGGTGTTCCCGAAATCGCCAACGAAAATTTGTATCCGCACCCACAAACACATACATCCATTTTTTCTAAGGTATGCCAAAATATTCAGAAACCTTTGAAACGTAAAGATATATGAAAATTTTCATTTTTGATTTTTTTGCGATTACTATAACTTACCCTACGGGAAGTTAATAACAATGGCAATAAAATTTATTAAACACTTGCTTAATAAAAAATGAGAACATTGTTTTAATACCTATCATTTTTTTACACAATTTGTATAATATTTTTCACGCATAATTCATCATTACAAAATTATTTCACAACAAAATGATCAAATCATTTATAGGAATGCTTTTATGACTTTCATTAGAATCCAATAATCCGAACGTTCCAGTAATTCGACAGATTTTTGTTATTGTCGAATTATCAAGAGTCTAATATATATAAAAATACACATTTGTTTAATATAGAAAACATGCATCAATAATAATAAAAACCAAATCAAATAAAATGTAATATCGATAAAATATATATTACCTGAAAATCTATCCCAATTTATGATCCGTATCCTTTAACTTCGTAGACGGTATTGAAGTCCTGGTTGCAATCCAAACAGCACTATAATCAAGTCTGATAGCCAGAAATATACTGAGAGAATCTAGAGAATCAATTCTGGAAACGACTATTGCTTCTACGACATCAGATCTGGAGCAGATCACCGCAGCAGCAATGTCCAGCCAGCGAAAGTCTGCAAAAATATACAAACTCGAAATCTAGAAATTATAAATGATATTGTAATACCCTACCAGAATTGGCCTGCAAACAGATATATTGATCACTTTGGGTGATATTAACTTGTTCTTGAATAAACTTGCATTCATCATCATAAAGGGCAGTAACGTTGAATGAAATGAGTTTAAAGGCTTTGACATAATCTTGTTCCTCATCACTTTTAAGCCAGCCGATAACTGTACATTGTTCACCTGTTAAAATATAATAATAAATAGTTGTAAATTGAAAGAAAAAAATAATTTTAACAAATATGTAAATGAATGCCGAGATAATAGGATACTAGTTCAAAACCTGCGTTGCGTTCAAACTGATATCAAGCAGTAGCACTATTAATCTTCAATTAAAAATATAAATCAAATATATGTTTACAAGTGATAATGTATTACAATTATACACAATAGCAAAATATTGTGTTACCCGTCATAATATATTTGGAAATTCATGAGCATTTTTGAGCAAAAACATTTGAAATTTTTAATTCATACCATATATATCTGTCTGAAGGCCTGAGTACTGAATGGGCTTAACACTGCTAGATTGAGTCAGAAGATCTTTAAGACCAATAAGAGCTGTAAAAATAGAAACAAAAAATTTAATATAGAATTTCTCAAACAAAAATTAAGCAATTTTATATCTACTACAAACTTACCAACTCCATAATCGAAATTGGTAGGACCAGTTGAAGAATTTTCATGTACTATGAAAAATTTGCAAGCTGATTTTTTTCTATATCCTGTGCTTTCAACACCTGTAACCACCTGAAAAGTCAAATCTATTTTGAAGATGCATTATGATTAAATATAAATGACACTATATTATTTTGAATATAAATTATTATATATTTCCGGATGCTATTCTTTAAAATAAATTTGAATAGAAGATATTCAAAATGATGTTATATGATCTTGATCAATATGATATAATAGTAAATCTTTATCAAATATTTAGATTACTTCATAATATGCTGGATCTCTCATAAGTTCATCTTTCGTATAATTTTCGGATCCCTGATGGAGTAAGCATTGAGAAGCCGTTAATATCCATGTTAATGTTATGATTATACCTGTGCAAAGATGTCTGAAAAATATAAAAAAGAATTATTTTAAAGAATGAGTCTATTTATCATTAAAAATATACATACCTTCCCAAAAGAAAAGTTTCTTCGATTGAAGTTATAAATGGATAATCTTCTATATTGACAATAGATAATTCAGTTGACATATTTCATAAGATAATTGGTATTTAAATAAACTTTCATTTGTTTCCTTTTTCTCTTATACAATAAATGACATTAAACGTTTTGATTGAAGAAATAAAGAAATAAAATTTAATAATATAAATATTTCTGCAAAGCATAGCTTGCTATATTAATAATAAATATACAGATTATATAAAATTTTAAGTATGATAGCTATTAAAGAATTGTCATATTTTTTTATATCTGATAGTATTAATTTTAATATTAAAGCGATTAATAAATATTGAAGACACAATAATTTATAATAATGCTATATTCCATACTTTATAACAATATACATATATCTATATAACTATATGCTTTACTAACAAGTTTTATAATTATTTAGTTCATTAAGTCCCATAGGTAGAAATATATACATTACGAACAAAATTGTATACACGCTGATAAGTTACTTTAATCAGTACTTTTTAATGTTTATATAATTCACTAATATAAAATTTAAAAAAATACAGCTAACATTTTGGTTCATTTCATAAATATAGAAATATCTCAATGATAATATAACTTCTTCATCAACCAAAATAAATTTTAAAAATATATCATTTCATATTAAAAATATACATAACATTCACACACACATTCATATACATATCGACGCTCACAAAAAAAGGTTCATATTAGTGAATTATAATTTAATAAACTATTTTTATTCATCTTTTTACCGATTTCAAAAATAAAATCAACAAATAAGTAAATTAATTTGTCTACATCACATAATAGGTTCCTAAGGTATTGCGTGTCAAAACGGTTTTTAATAGTTTAGTTTAGAAATCTTAGCTATAAAAAATCGAATTACTTTGAAAAATTCATTATACATACCTGATTGTATCAGTTTATTGACAATTTGAGTACTTATAGCCTTCGGGTGATAAGTTTATTTGCTGTTTCTTAAAATTTTGCTGTTTTAGTAAGTAATACAATTGCGCTGATAAAGTTGCTACTTGTACATTAGTAAATGTTGAATAAAGAAGATCTATAAGCATTCAACTTGCCAGCGAACTGAGAAAATTTTTCGGCGAATTATATACATTTTATTGCCACATATCCTTCAATAATCATCATAAATATTTTATATCACCCATTGTATCACTATCCATCGACTCATTTATTTCCACAATTTCACAACACCATCTCTAGAAGCTGTAACTATAGAACATTGTCCAGCGCCGCCGCTCGTGCCTGCACGAACCAGTATTACTTCTGCTAAAGGCGCTAGGTGACCAGTAGGCGGGGCATCTGGTCCAGGTCTAGGTAACTCTTCGGGGCCACCGGACACCGAACCACTAGTGCGCCCGGTAGGACCGCTTGGAACTTCCTGGACGACTGATGTGCCGTCGATAAGGCGCGATCTGGGAAGAAGAAATATAATTATACGAAGAATATGTCATCATTCAAGCATTCATAATAGAAAGACAAACTGAATAAGTTAATTAATAAAGAAGAGAGCATAACAAATTACATTGAAATCATCATGATATCACGCAATACAAAGGGTTTTGTGAATGAGATAAGTAAAAATGTAATACAGACTTGTAAATAATATCTTGAGAAGATAAAGAATCGTTAGGGGCTGGTATGAGTAAGCAAGATTCTTCGGGTCTATCTAAATTCCAAAACCGAACTCTCTGATCAGATCCTCCTGCTAATAAGAAGCCAGTGCGATCTACGCATCCGGCATACATGGCACATACTGAGTGTGAAGAAACCTTTAATCAAAAGAATCATATAAATTAAAATAAACAAGATAAAATATTAATAATAAGTATTGCATTTGTTTCAACAGCAGTAAGTTCTTAATCAATATTATTAGATAACGAATATTACCTGAGTGTTAGATAAAGGTGGTGCAGAGCTAGCCCAAAGAACAGATTGCCGAAATCCTGTTTCTAAATTCCAAAGAGAAACTTCATTGTTGCCTTGAACACTGGATAAAATCCAAGACGGTTGACTTGGATGACAAATTACTTTACGAACACGAGATTCTGTAATAAAAATATATCACATAACAAATAAAAAAATATATACTGTAGACAATTTTATATCATCATAATTTTTAAAATTATTTCTTTTATACACACTTGTTGGATGATCAATGGAAGCAATCGGCAAACGAAAACGTAAATCCCAGCAAGAATGTTTGCCGTGACTTGTTCCAATTGCGAGCCAGCAATCACCAGGATCCATGCACATACTGGTAGTGAAGCCATGGCGCAAATCGGCTTGCATGCGCCAAGCGACTCCTGAATAAAAGTCAGGCAAAAAGAAAAAATTAAACATAACATTTTTCTCCCTATCGAGTAAATCATAATAATCATTTTTTAACAATTCTACCCTTATAAATATATTATATTCCCCCTATTATTTAATATAACATATACATATATATAAAAATAAGTCGGGTTTTCCTTCCTGACGAAATAACTCCAGAATGCACGAACAGATTTTGACAATTTTGCATTCGTTGGAAAGGTGTCGGGCTCCGCAAGGTTTATAGCTAAGAAAATTAGTAGTGCATGGCATCGTGCCTTAATGCAAATTTCTGGAACTTCACGCACCGTAATTAAAAATTCGAGTAATGAAAATAATCAATATTTGTTTTAAATAATTTCAAATAGATTATCTACATATATACATAAAAATAAGTCGGGTTTTCCTTCCTGACGAAATAACTCCAGAACGCACGAACAGATTTCGACAATTTTGCATTCGTTGGAAAGGTCTCGGGCTCCGCAAGGTTGATAGCTAAGAAAATTAGTGGTGCCTTAATGCAAATTGCTGGAACTTCACGCACCGTAATTGAAAATTCGAGTAATGACATCAGTGAGAATTATCAGAATTATGCTTAGTTAAGTCAACGATCAATTCTTGCCGCAAAGAATAATGATGTACACGCACTGAATTTCACCATTCAATCAAAAATTGGTGGCGATTTGGTGACATACCAATGATTCCGACTGGTCTTCCGTTTGACTTCAAACGATTGAAATTTCCAAGTCGCAAGGCCAATCGCTTAGTGTTTGCGGGATAAATTTCAAATAGATTATTTAGAAAATCATTGTTTTTCACATAGGCAGTTATACGTTGCCTGTTCACGAGTTGGAAAACGATCCGCTTTGTTTGTGTTAACGTCAGACCAAAAAACAAAAAAATGTGGTTTACCAAAGAGCACGTCAATGAAACGGATAATTTGCGGATTCACTTTCATTTACATAGAGAAGTTCAACTAAAAAACATTTCATTTTTATAATCGAAATAAATTCATTACTGTTGTGCAATAAAATCAACTTTTTCCTTTTCAAATATAAAACAAACAAAAAATGTCTTCATCTTTCTCATGAAACCATCTGGTGGCGAAACGGAGTTCGTCGGGTTTGCTAGTTTATTATAAAATTATTTATCTATTATATCCCGTATAATTAATTATTTAGTAGAATCGTAAATAGAAAAAACATAATAGAAATTACAAAAAAATGTATAAATAAATATCTTGCTTACCAGGTGCTCTTAAATCCCATGCGACAAGCCCTCCGTACAAAGTGGCGTACACTAATACTGATCCTGCTCCACGTTGAGTCACGCAAGCAGCCAAAGGAGGCGAATCATCCAACTCCAAATCACCACTTGCTCCACCAAATTCGACGCTGCTGGTGCCTCTCAGCAGGGACGTGTACCTAGGAGAAGCGTCCACGCGCGTTACCTGTAACTGACCACTGCGCGAAGCAAAGGCCAGGGTTCTTCCTGACTCTAATGACGAGACAAACGTTAAGGGACCTATGCGAGGAGTGAACAGTTGTTTTGATCTGTAAGAAAATAAAAATAGGAAATTGACACATGTTACATAAGAAACATGTAAAACTAAAATAAAAATCCAAAATCTAGAATAATTTACCTAGTTAACTTCCCGTAGGGTAAGTTATTGTAATGGGCCGAAAATCGGAATTGAAAATTTTTACATTTCTCGACGTTTTGAAGGTTTCTGAACATTTTGGCATACCTCAAAAAAATGGATGTGTGTGTGTGTGTGTGTGTATGTATGTATGGATACAAATTTCCAGTCACGTTTTCGGGCGCACGGATCAACCGATTTGAATGGTTCAAGAAACAATCGATTTCTATTGATAGGGAAAAGAGCTGATTAGTTTTTGGCAAAGGCAGGTCCAGCCGTTTCGAAGATACGGAGCAAAGAGTGTAGATAATAGAAATCGACTTTTTGAGTGAACGGAGTATCCGATTTGAATGATCTAAGAAACATTCAATTAGTAATGACTGGGAGAAGTGTTTATTAGTTTTTGGCAAAGGCAGGCCCAGCCATTTCGAAGATACGGAGCTAAATATGTTAAAATGGCAGTTTTTGAGAGAACTAAGCGTCCGATTTAAATGATTCAAAGAACTTTCTGCTTGTCTTAACAAAATAATTGATTTTGGAAAAAAAATCTTGTTTCAACTTTTTTTTTTAATTTTTTGTATATCGAAAATAATTCAGATTTTATTTTTAATTCTGACTATAGTTCTAATATACTTTACAAATAATTTCAACTTTGCAATTCAGTTTATATAATTCTTATAAATATTAGATAATGTTACAATATTTATAATAATCTATTTGAAAACATTCAGTATTCCTAGTACGGAAAGTTCCAGCAATTTGCCTTAAGGCTCGATGCCATAATTGCCTCAAGACAGAATTCCACTTACAGATAGTTTTTGAGTTACATCAAAAGGTTTTAATTTATTTTTATTAAATCAGTCATATCAGTATTAATTTATTTTTGCATACCTGTTGGCTACACTTTGGCCTTCCATGCGAGCGGCGTCCCATAATCTAATAGTTCCATCCAGAGAACATGTTACAAAAAGTGGAGAATCGGGAGAAAGAGGTATCAGGCCAGTTATGTTACCAGAATGCTCGTGCAGATGTGCTATATGTCGTCCCCGAGGTGTCCAGCCAGGCGGTGGCAATGGGAACGCCATCGTGCTGATTCCGCTAATGTTAAAGCGCTAAAAAAAATATAAGTAAAAAGTTATAAACCAACCTTTGGTACTAAAAAAATCTTTAAAATATCATGAAAAAATCCACTGTTATTAAAGAACAGGTTTTCTTATATATAATCTTTTTTATATATATTTTTTGTAATAAATTATTCCCAATACTTACTGTTTGGCGGTATCATATCGTTCTTGTTGTCTAACAATAAGAGATCTCAGTTCCATACTACAATCAGCTAAACGACCTAAAAGTTTTCAGTCATAATAACATTCTTAACTAAAGTGAAGATGAAATATAATTATACTCAAAATACTCACACTGAACATAACTTCCTTCGGGTTCTGATAAACTAGCTGCATCATTCAGGTGATTTGTTTGTTGATGAAAAGGTGAATTATTTACAAGAGAATTTGTAGTTAATTGATTTGCAGATGTTTGATTGTTTTGGATACTGGACTGTTTAGACCTCCAAACATGTGTTGCCATTCAGAGTTCATAGTAACATCTTCAGCGGGTTTGCGAAGTTTTCTGGAAATAAAATTGTTGCTGCTGATATTTACAAATATAAATCCAATAAAATTGGCTAATTCTAACTATATGATTTATTAATGTTGAAGGTATCTGAAGTAAATTACATAACTGCCAATCTTTTATGAAATAAGTTAGAAGGAAAAGATCAATTCAAATTATTTTTTTTTCTTTTAAAATTCATATAGTATTTTACTGTAGCCTGAAAGAAATTACTCACTAATATCCTGATAATTATTTATTTTAATATAATTAATAATTTGTTTTATTATATCAATTTTGAAATGTTATATCATAAATTTAAATTTTAGGAAAAACTCAATAATCTTACCTTTGCAGGGTATCAGCATTCTCAGTCTTACTGGAATCTAATTGAAGTACATGACTAAGATTTTGAGTTCCTCTTATGTCCAGCCTTCCATTATATTGTCCAACACTTGATAGTTGGTTAAAACCTAATTTGTCTGGGCTTTTACTTCCAGCATTTGCATCAACTATACGATATTTACTAAGTTTTATTAAATGTGCACTCATTGATAACAATTGATTTTCCATGTGGTCTGTCAAGCCTTCTGATTGGAGACGACTGAAAAGCTGAAAAATATAATAAATAGTTTAAGTAAATTATTCTTAATTTATTAAATCTGATTAAAAACAATAAATCCATAAGCCATATAAAATCAATAATGGTAATTGGGGTTATATGCAGATAATGACTATATTATTGGTTTAATAATAAAGCTAAAAATATTTTATAAATTAACTTACTGCTTTTAAAGCTTGATTCATTTCCCCATAAAGAGGCACAGTTCCTTGTTTAACTTTCGCGCGGATGACCCTGCGTTCTCTAAGAGTTTCTATTAAATAGTTGATGTCAGGATATCTAAAATAAATATAAATATAATAATAAGGCACATAATCACCATACATATATTTACCTCATATAAGTATTACCTCACTACACTATCAAAAATTGTTCTTGGAATAGGCGCCTGCAAGCTGTCCAGGAGCATTTCCGGTTTCTCTACTTGCAGCACCGGAACACGCAAGTGCGTTGAAATTGCCGGAACTATTTTACATTGCACATCGATTGGACTCAAAATTTGAGCGGACGTGGCGATTAAACCGCACACCTGAAAATAACATTTTTGACGGTTAATATTCATGATCTTTATCGAATTTCATAATAATAAGATGTAAAAAAATACCTCATGTCTTATCCACAAATTAGGATGATTAAGATAACAAGCGCATTCTGCTATATATTCTGTTAGTGTAGATTTATGCAACAGCCCTAGGCTCATCAGAGAAGCAGTCGCATGAATTGATTTTGCTATCACAAATTCAGAAGTATCGGTTAATCCCTGCAATTAAAAGAATATTGCGTTCAATCCTGAAAATAAATAAAAAAGATTTTTATATACCTGATGTAGAAGAGGAGCTAATATGACTGAGCAATGCCATCCAACATAAGCTGCCACTTCCACAACACTATCAAAAAATGAACCACGTAAGTTCTTATCACATTTGTCATTTAAAAATGTGATCATGTGTGATAATAGAACGTCATTTGCTGCAAAAAAGATTAATATGAAATTAAAATAAAACCTGTTCTATACTCCCCTAAACTCTTTTAAACAACACTATAAAAAATTGATATCTCAATTATCACAAAAAAATGAGATCATGTGTGATAATAGATTATCTTTTACTATAAAAAGTTTAATATTACGTTCTTGTATTGAAATATAGTTTGTTCTTATTATTGTGTGATCGGTATATACCTTTCTGTTTCCCGAAAAAGACACAAAGCCTAGCAAGTCCACTTTCCATGAGAGTTTGTTTCACTAGTGAATGAGAATCTGTGAGAAGATGGGCCACCGTTTGTTGAACCATGTCGTGAAGAGCCGCCAACTCGTTTTCGTAATTAAGGACTGCGCAATCCTTATCGGCCGCCATTCTTGTAGCCATATCTAGAAAACGCAATGCCGTCTCCGCAAGTGATGCTTAAATATAAAGATTTTGTTTTAATGTTGAACTTAAAATTAATTATGTGATTTTAATGATATTTTCTTAATCTCACCAATATTTTTGGCATAAGCTATTCGTACAACTGCGGCTGAATCTGTAGCTAATGGGGCAATAGCTGGCAAGACATATTCTGGGAAAACATTGAAATCAGAACGTGGGAGTTCCTGTACAAGGTCTAAGCATCGCGCTAAGATGTCTAGGGAATAAACACGTACACGAGCTGCCGGATCTTGGGCCAAATGTAACTATTTACAGAAACATAAAAAAATGATTTAATGAGAGGAAAATAAATTATCAATATGAAAATGCATTTGCAAAATTTCTGTACTTACAATATAAGGCAATATTCTATCCAATATTGTCTCAGAACTTGTATGCGCTGCCAATTGCAATAATATATCTAAGCAATTCATTTTAGACATGCAATGGTGCAGTCCTCGAATACATGATGTTACTAGACTTGTTATGATAATTAATCCATCATTATCACTCATTTTTGGTCCTTCTTTCATAGTACTCTCGGTTGGTGTTGCATCTCTATCAAATTGATTTTTGTTTTCTCCATTAAAAATTGATATTATATAACCAATGTCTTGATGAAGCCTCATTATTTTCTCATCAGGAGGCAAAATAGGTGTAGCCGAAAATATCAACATGTATGATTGCAGAAAAGAATAGAAATATTCAGGAAAAAATCTAAAATTTATAATAAATATATAATACTATTCTTGACTAAATAGTAAAATATTCAGTATTGCAATGAATATGTTTGTTGTTAAAATTAATTTGAACATACCTCCCCTTTTCATTATCTAGATATACTTCAGCACTTAATCTTAGATGTGGATCCAATTCAATCATAGATGATAATAAAGCTCGCAATGCTGGATCTTTTATAGAATCTAAATGCTTACGAGGCTCATAATCACCAGCTCTATAAGCTAATAATTGTGATAATTCAAATGGTGGAGTACCTTCATTCCATAGCTCTAATAAAGCACAACTAAAAAAAAATTAATAACTTATACTAAAGGGAACAAACACCAACTCTTATATGAAAACACATTACTTTACCCTGCAGAAAATATATCCATTGAAGGAAGTAAATCACCAGAACTGCATGGAATTTCATTAACCAAAAATCCATCTTTATGTACGTTATCCATGTTTAAAGTTTTAACAAATCTAAAATAACATTGTAAAAAATATAACATTTTTATAAAAAATTATTCATTTTTTACCTCTCTGGTGCTATATAACAAGTGCGACGTCTAGATGTATCAAAAAAATAACTGTAGTCTGCTGGATTATCATCTGGTAAGTAAGTAGGCTTAAACGAAGCAAAATCAGCAAGCAAAATCCAATTCCAAGATGTAACAAGGATATTTTCTAACTAAAAGCAATTATAATAAGATAAAAATAAATTTTGTATTTATAAAAAAAATAGACAAAAGAAAAATAGTAGCTATTACTTCAATTTTACAACAAGATTAAATAATGTACTATGTAAACATCATTTGCATTTTACTATTCATTAATTTTTATTTGTAAGAATAATTTTTTTCTGATTAGTCATATAAAAAGTAATAAAGGTAAGTCTACGTTGTAATTTAGGTTTATGATTATAAAATGGGGAACAAGCCAAATTGGTTCGCATACACAAATATAATAATATATATTCATTATAATGTTCTCATGCAAATAATATAAAGGATGGAATATTTACTTTTATATCTCCATGGCATATTTGTAATTTATGGCATTGATGTAATGAATATAATATTTGAAATGTAATCCATTTTTTTTCTATAACTGTTAAGAATGGTCTTGTAGAAATTCTGTCATACAGACTATGTTTAACATACTGACGCATTATCAAACCAGCACGTTCTGTTAGCTAAAAATAATATAACCAAAAGTAATTTCAAGGATTTATTCAACATTATAAACAAATTATGACAATAAATTACTTCAATTCGCTGGAATGGCAGACAATTAACGGTTGTTGATAATTTTTCTCGTATGTTTTCTAATCTTTCTCGATATGTTTGTAATGGCAGCGAAGGATCATGAATTGCGAAAACCTTTACAACTATAAGTCCTTCGACATATTTTGCTCTAGCAACTTTGAAAAACCTAGTGCTTCCCAGACTAAAAAATAATATTCGTCATATAATTTATGAATACTATCGAATATCAAAATATTTTACCTAATATCAAATTGCAATTCAGCATGATCAGTTAAGTAGTATTCAACGGGAAAGATTTGAGATGGAGCAACTCCTACCAGTTGATTACCCATTTAAAATATTTATATTTTACATTCACAACCAATAATCATATTAAAACTAAAATAAAGATTGAAATTAGTTTGTATAGTTCATGATGTATTTGCATTGTATTTTCAGTATTGTTTTGAATTTCTGTCAAAAATTGACGTTTCACACAAGTAAAGAAAGAATTTGCTGAAGTTGGCTGTGTAAAATTCTCATAGTTCCCAACATAAATGCGAGGTTATGTTTTTGATTTTGAGTAATGATCATTTTCATTTTATTTAATTATTTATTGGTTTTATATCTGCAAAAATATTTCTAACGGAATCAAATTCACGTTATGAACATTGTTGCGCGTAAAATAAGACAAATTTCATTCAGTAACTTAAACATTAAAAATATGTCTAGTAAAAAATATTCAACTAAAAACCGCATAGTTTGGATTGATATGGAAATGACAGGCTTAGATATTAATAAAGATAAAATTATCGAAATAGCTTGCATTGTGACAGAGTCTGATTTAAGCATTGTTGATACATGCCCCTCGATGATAATCCATCATTCAGATGATGTATTAAACAGCATGAATGAATGGTGCAAGGTCAATTTAGGTAAAACTGGATTGATTGACGAATGTAAAAAATCAACGACAACATTAGAAGAAGCTGAAGGCAATATACTACAGTTCTTGAAGAAAAATATTGCTCCAAAAGAATGCCCAGTTGCAGGCAATAGTGTGTACATGGATAGATTGTTTTTACAAAAATATATGCCAGTAGTCGATCAATATTTACACTATAGAATAATTGATGTTTCTTCCATAAAAGAATTGTGTAAACGATGGAATGAAAACTTTTATAAAAATGCTCCTAGAAAAAATGTGTACATAGAGCTCATGATGATATTCTAGAAAGTATAGCAGAACTACAATATTACAAAAAATTATTTCATCATTAAAGGATATACTTTTTAGAAACTGATTTTCACAAATATATATAATTTTTAATTCAGTACAAAATATTTTTTATAAATGAAGAATTAGTTTAATATTAATTAAAACATAATTTATTGCAAAAGCAATAAAGCAAATTATGATTTAAAAATAAATTTGTACAAATTACTATATATATACAAAAAATAAACTACTCTTTTATGGTATAACTTTTAATATAAAAATTGTATAAAATATGTTTCTGCCAAATGCACTTGGCAATACTTGAATTTCGATCAATAAATAAATGTATAAATGTATAAAATTTTATGAACATGCCTAATAAATATTTGTGATGATCCTTTTATAAATAAGAATTTATAAATATTTCACATTACAATACACCTAATATAAATGCAAATATTTTAGTTTAATAATGAATTTAAGATGATAGATAGTTAAAATTTGAACTTCAATCCAGAAGCCACCATTATTGATTAACATAAAATAAGAACTTCAAAATGCAATATTAAGGCGAAAACATTTAGTGCTGATAAAAAAACTTGAAATAAACATTAATTACTATATCTTGAGGAGGCAGTAGATTTGTTAATATACAACAATAGTTCTGGTATTATTTATATATAAGGCACTAGGAGGGCTTATAGAATTATATAAAACTTAAATACTAATATTGTTTATCTATATTCTTGTATGCTTGTGTGTATGTATGTATGTGTATAAAATGTTCGTTATGTAGTTTAAAATCAAACACAACCGTATTCGTACCAAATAGCACTATCTTTCATATCTTTATTGTCACCTGACTTAGGTGAAGTGTCTTCTTTATTAGCTGACTCAGGTCTTCCAACCATTTTATTGTAGACTATAAAAGTGTTTCCTTGGCTGGGTGTAGAATTTCCTGGGAGTGGAGATTGCCTTCCAGATTCTGTTTCTTGAGTTAAATACACTGTTCGCCGTGTACCAGCAGAACCCAAACATAAAGATTCATCTAATGATGACGATGTTTCCAAACTGAAAATATTATACATAAAAATCTGATTATATTTTATTCAATTTTGCAAAAGTACATTTAGCAATTCATGTATGAAAATCAGTTTTTGTATTAGATAAAAAAAAAGTATATTTATTTTTATTCTAAAGCAATACCTTTGATTAGGAGTATTATTTTCCCCATTACCATCACATTTGTCACCCAATTCTGGCTGTAATGTTGAGTTAACTACATGTGAATCATCAGTCCAAGAATGTCGATTCTGTAATGAATAATGAAAAGGTAAATTTATGAAAATAATTCTTTTTGAATATATAAATATATTTACTCTGCTTGGAACTTTTTTCATTAAGTCTGATCCAGCTTTACAAACCCGATGAACAAGTATTGACCCAAATGCTTTCCTAAAAGAAAACAAAACCAATATCAAATAAAAATTATTATAATTGCAATGAAACAAACAGATTTTATAGATGAGAATTGAAACTGATATAATCCAAAAAGTAATTTTTATAGATACCGTTTTGAAGAGCAACTTTCAAGTTTCCTATAATGTTCCATAATTTTTTCTTCTAGTTTTTCCTTCTGACGACATAAACTGTTCACTTTATCTGTAAATAATTTTTCTTCATCATGATAGTGTTTATTATCTTCAATAGAATGAGCCAATAGTTCATGATACTGTGAGAGTAATTTTGATACTTGGTCCATTAAGATTCGTCTGTCGCTGTCCAGACAGCTGTTTCTTTGTAGCAACATCTATCAATATTTATAAATTATTTATAATTTCTTATATTTTAAATCAGCTTATGTAAATTTTTAAATGTTCTAAAATCATGATAAAAATCATTTTTAAAATACCTCACAATATTGGCTGACTTTATGCAATTCGAGTTGCAAACTTGTTATAAGGTCTCTCCTATTGTTTAATTCACCAGTTAATTCAGTATATTGTAATTTTTGACGGTGGGACTCACTTCGAACTCTCCTGTAATAAATAAATCATCCGTATATATAGTCATAGAATATATAGTGAAAATAGGTATTAGTTATACTAATTCTAATTTTCTTATCTCAATGATTTACCTATATTGTTCTTGGAGATTTCTATATTCTGCCTTCAACTTATCACTTGCAGTGAAAAGATGTTTGAAATCTTCCTTTAAGTTTGAATGCTCAGATCTCAGATCTACTACACTTTGTATTTCTGCTTTCAAATTAGAATTTTCTTCCAAAAGAGATTTTATTTCTTTTTCATTAATTGCTAATTTATCACTAATGTCTCTATTTTCAGCCTTCAGATCTCGAACTGTGCCCCTAGTACTTTCACGCTCCTTTGTCAATATTTCATACTCCAAAGTCAGTTGTTCATGCAAATTTTTCAACGTTTCCAAATCCTTGGTAATATCTAAGTTTTCTTTTTTGCTCTGTTGCAGTTCCTTTTTAATATCTTCTTTTTGTGTCAAAAGTTCGGTATTCTCAGTTTGTAAAGAAACTTGTTGGCTTTGTAACGAAGTAATTTGCGAATTTAAAGTAGTAACATCAACTTTGTACACTGCATTTTCCTTTCGTATTTGCCCATTGACTGTTTTCAACAATGATAACTCAGTGGTTGTGCTTTGTTCATAACTCTCATTATTTTGTTTGCTATCACTCAGAACAGTATTTAATGGCTTGTCTTCACTACATTTGTTGCAAGTATCACATAATTTTAATGTATTTTCTTTGTTTATTTTGGCTATAATATCCTTCACAATTTCATGATTGTCAGCGTTCATCAAAATATTTTCAATGCAATATTCTAAAGAGTTGTCTGTTTTAAGAACATTACTCACGTCCACACCTAATTTGTCCAGGATCAAAGATGCTCTCTCAAAGTTTAGTTTTTCTGCGACCAAATCTGCTTGCAAAGTAGAAATGATTTTATCGGTCATTTTTGATTGTGTTTCATTGTCTTGAATTTTCTTTTTCATTTCTTCGATCTTTAAAGCTAATTCTTCACTATTATGCAAATCCTTTGTGATTCTTTCAATTTCTTGACTCATTTCTTCAATGTATATGGAACTTTTATCAAGTGAAACTTCTTTTTCCTGTAATAAAAAATTATAAAATAATTTTATAAGATATTAGATATAATTATATTAATGATTATATTAATAAAACAAAATACAAACTTCTATAAGATCACGTAATTTCTGCACATCTTTCATCAATCTCTGATTTTCTTTTTCCATGTTTACTATCTTTTCATTTAGCTTTGCAATAACTTCTTGGCTCTGTTTTGATGATGATGCCTTCTCCATTAAGTCACAACATTCATTTGTCTTAGCTACCAATAACTTATCTAAATCATCATATTTTCTTTGAAGGCATTCATTATTATGAGATAATGTTTGCCGTTCTTTCATTAATGCATCTAATTGTTTTTCAATCTCTAACAATTTCTTTTTCTCCAACTAATATCAGAAAAGTCACAGAAAAAATGTTTAGTAATAATTACTACAAGGAATAATTATGCATTTAAATTCATTTTATATTTTGTATTTTGTAAATTATGTAAATTATTACCTCTTTCTCATTTGTGATCTTATCAAGCAAGTGCTTATTATTGTCCAATTCACTAAGCAATTTTTTATTTTCATCCATTGAATTTTTGAAAATTTTCTCAATTTCACCATTTTGATCTGTTAATCTATCACAATTTTCTTTTAATTGAACACATTTCAAAGACAACTTTTTCCTCTCCTTTTCAGAATCTACTAAGTTATTTGAGATTTCATTATTAGTCATGATCATGTCATCTATTCTGGATAGTAATTGTTTGTTTTCTAGTTCCAATTTTAGTACTCTCGCCTAAAATAAAATAAAATATATCTTATATTTTAAATATTGAAATCTGTGAATGCTTATTGGATTCTAATTGGAAAATATAAACATAATATCAATCTTAATTTAATCAAAACATTTGCATGTACAATGCAAAACTTAATAAAATTTAGTTAGTAATTTGAAAATAATATTTACTTCTGCATCTGTTTTTAGCTGATCTATCAAACTTGTTTCAGCAATTGAGTGGTCATTTTCGGCATTTTGGTCATTCAGAGTACTGCTGGTATTTGATGAATCAGAAACTGCAGATTTTGTTAATAATTGTAAATGTGTGTTCTCTTCTATTAAATCCTGAAGTTTACTGTGATCAGCTTCTTTTTGCTAAAATACAAAATATCTTTTAAAAGTATGTAAAATAACTCCTAAAATGTCTGATCTGATTTAGATAAAAATATAACTTTTTTAGCTTATTCAATATAATTTATATTTTGAATCTTACCAGTACTAAATCATTAACTCGTTGTTTATATTTAATTATTTCTGTCTCAAGTGATAAAGCTTGTTCACTGCGTTTTCTTGCTCTTGACAACTGCTCTTCAAGCATTTCAATAGTTTCAGAGAGATTTTTGTTATCTTCTCTTAATTCCTCCACTCGATTTTTATAAAATTCATCATCATTCATGCGATCACGTAATTTCTGAATTTCCTGCTCTAATCTATCTGCATGTTCACATTTTTCTCTTAATGCATCGATTTCATCTCTATATGCTGAGGCTCTACAAGAAGCTTGAAACCATTCTTGACTCTAAATTAATTGAGTAATAAATAAATTATATATAATCTTAAAATCCTATTATTTTACCTTATCAATAATATATTTATTTTATTTAGAAAGACAAATATAAAATTATCATTAACTGTACCTCAATTTTTAACTTTTCTAGTTTTTTCTGTGTGTATTCAAGCTCCTCTTTATATTCCATTATTACTTCTGACTTTTCCTCCCTGAAAAATTAATAAAATATTATATAAGGCTTTTTTGGTTTTACTGCATATTAGAATAATTTAAACATACAATTCCTGCCGTTGTCTTCTTAGTTTAGCTTTCCAATCTGCAAGTTCAACAGCATGATGATTGTTATCAATCCCATGAACCCCATTTTTTGATGGACTTGATAATTTATCTATTGAACTAAGAGAGTCTACCAAAATCGAATTCATGTAGTATGAAAAGTATTTGTCACGCTCTTTAATTAAATTCATTAATGATTGTCTTTGCATTGGAGAACTAGTAGCTTCATCATATTCATTTGTTAAAACAAGTGTTTGACTGTCTATCACCTATAATTAAGAAAAAAAACATTTCATTTTCCACTATTAACCACATCTTTGGGATCTCATAATTCATAATCAGTTGAAATAAATTGTTTGACTCTACATAGTTAACTATGTATTAAATATAACAATATTTAATATTTTTTTAAAGTATACCTGTGTAATATAATCTTTTATTGCATGCTGCACAGTTATATTAAGATCATATATATTCTGAATGAATGTTTTTTCGATTTGGGCATTGAACTGCTGCACCAAGTAATAATAAAATTAGTAGTTTCATGTTTTCCAAGCCTGATCTTGAATCAGGTTTTGTTCCTAATTCTATGAAATCAGGTACTGATACAATTGTTTGTCTGAATTCTTCATCATATAAAGTTTTTAGATTTTTAAAGATGTTGTGAAAATTATTAATCCTAGAAGCAACAATCATTTCATTATTTCCAGTTAGTTTACAAATAGAATGAGCTGGTTCTGGATCTATTTGTAACAAAACAGAAAAAATAAGAGATCCATCCCACAGTGATGAATAATCAACCAGTTTTTCTGACTCTTGCAGACAAGATTTCAACTGTAAGGGAAATAGAAGTAGGTTACATAAATAGTAACAACTCTTTGATATTAGTGATAATAAAATAGAACAGTATGTTTTTGACTGCCAAGAGAATAATTTTGTAAATAATTCATGTCAACACGTTCGTTTCCTTTAGTTTTATTTAATATTGCGCAAACAAGTGTCATTTACTAAATGAACGGCAGTTGATATGTATCACAATAAAACAACAAACAAAACATTAGTTGCTCACCCAAGCTATTAAAGGTCCGGAAAGAAAATCTTCGATATCTGAACTTGCTGTTGCCATATTTACACGTTTTATATCTATTTCTTATTTATATACTAATATAATATATCACAATGTTTTACTTATTCACATATTTAGCAATTTCACACACAGCACTAAATTTACAAGTTATGGCATTATTCCAGCTTAACCAACAGATTATAAAAAACACCATATTGCTATATAGGACTAAGATGTGCAAACTTTAAGGCAAACCAGCAACTGTCAAACTTACGATATGAGGCGCAC